CCCCCCCCTCCCCCCCCGGTTCGGACACGGCGTAGTTACCATCAAACAGCTTTCGCCCCTGCTACACAAGATCAGACACCCAACGCCCGCGCGCCACGACGCCGTAGATCAATTCTTGAGTATCTCTCACAACAAGCTCAACTCTGCTCGAAACCGTTTATCAGTAAACACTCACCGCAGGGTACCACTTATCAGCCGAGAGCACCTCTACTCTTGCTCCAACCCCGAACACGCCTGTCGTTGAACTCCCTTGTTTCGCCGCCAGCGCCGTCGTCCCTCCCCTTCCTTTTTTGCCGCCTTCTCGTGGTGCGTCTGCTGGGGCGGGGGCAGGGGCGGCAACAGGCTCCCACTTCCCGATTGGGACGGCTTCAAGTTTTGGGGTAGCGGATGATGCTGGTGCTGCTGCGGGCTCAGGGGCGGGTAGCGCCGATGTGCCCTTCGCTTCTTCGAGCTGCGTTGGGTCCGTGGCGTAGCATATTATGACAGGACGGGAACATTGCGTGAGAACGGCGGCAACAGGCAACAGCGGGGGTTTGGGCGCGGTGTTTCTGCATCTGTATGTACCTGGAGTCATATGACGCACCACGGCCCCCCTTGCGCCCCTCCCCAAAAGAAATGGAGCATTTCCGGCTTTCGTCGTCTACCACGGCAAGCTTACACGGACAACGGGCGTTAGGCCAAAAGCGGGACAACATGCTTGCCGCAGGCAGAGATGTGTTCAGATCAAAGACACTTGGAGGCGGCGCGACTGCGAGGGATAGACCAGCAGCAGTCAATCTTCAACGTTTGAAACAGACAAACCCACAGCATGAAGCGCTGGTTGACCATGCTCCCGGAAGTGAACCTCGCTCCCTGGTTCTACTGCTGCGTATCCCACCAAAGCTTGAAAGCCAACCCCTGACCCCGATCATCCCCCCTCGGTTGTATTCTTGGCCGCTAAAGGCTGACACCCTTCCCTAGTTCTACTGCTGCGTACCCAACCCAAGCTTGAAAGCCAAACCCTGACCCCGATTATCCCCCCTCGTTTGTATTCTTGCCAGCAAAAGGATGACACAACTTGCGATGCAGGTTTCTGCCCAAGTAGCGACTCACGAGCCCTTTGGTGAGCCTGATGACTTCCTCCAGATCGGTCCTGAGCTTGGTGAAGCCGGCGTTTGAGGGGTCAGAAGCTTCGAGCTCGGCCACCTTTTCGCGAGGGTTGATTTGACGAGAGAGGAATGGCATTGGACAGCGACAGGGGAAGGACACGCCGTGCGTCATGCATGGGGGCAGGGCTACTTTGCGTGAAGACACAATACGAAGGCCCCGTACTTCGATGCATACAGCAATACCCTGAGTGGTGTGCGGTGGTCTCTCCCCAGCAAGGTACGGTGTGTATGATGAGCTACACCAGAGAGCCATTGAAATGGGAGCGACGGCAGCAGAAAAGGCGTGTTTCCTCGTGGTATTGAATTGAAGCAAGTACGCCACAAGACGAGCAGCTGCGGGGCATGCGACAGCACATACATCACGACCTACAACCAACGACACATTGTAGCTGATCAACGAGAGGTCGCGTGCTGGGATCTACTATTTATAGACTCAAGTGTACCGTAGACTGCTAACTTCTGCTGCCGGCCGGCGGTGTTGCCTGTCGGCGACGAAGGCCTCCGGTGACTGAACTCCACACCAACGGACGAACGGCGAAAAAGGACTGAACACGCGCGTGACCGGTGTTACATAGAAGCTCCAGTGGGGGATTCAACCAGAAAGAGCGCGCCTACGGTGGCTGCTGACGGCAGGGGCTGCTGCCGGCAGGGCCAAAGACGAACATCCACCATCGGGACAGCGGTGTCAAGTACAGATGCCCCGCGCTATTTAGAAGTTGTCTGTTAGCCGTAACGACAGGAATAACGCGTTCAAGATCGCAGGACCGTTGTGCAGCAAGTGAGCAATGACAAGCCTACACATACAAGTCTGGGTGTCATCGGAGATAATGACAGAACCAACACAGCAACACAGCAACTACCTCCCTGTTGTGCGTACAACTCGAGCAGCGACGCGGCGTTCTCAATTCTCAGTAATACAATGTAAATTTCGTCAACCAGACAGACGAGTCTCAACCAGGGATACCTGCACACACCTGCTCGAGCTGCTGCGTGTAGGCCGTGAGCTTCTCCTCAAGTTCATCCATGGCTCACGGCGATGGTGTGAGACGCTCGTTCACACGGGAACACAGAGAGCAATCCAATAGGTAATGACGAGAGTAGCCAGCGGCAGGCGGCAGATCTGTGGGGGCGACGCAGATATAATATGCAACCCCACGGAGCATCGCAGAATGGGAAAGCAGAGCCAAGTTGCCACCGCCACATCTCTTTGCTTTCACTGACTGCTGTTGTCAGTGCCATGGCTACGGAGGGGAGAATACACGTGCGAGGTGTTGGGTATGTGATGGCATTGTCCTTGCTTGCTTGTCGCTGCGCAGTGGGATTTGTGGCACTGCCCTCCACCGCTGTGAGACCAATGCGACAGCCTAATGACTGCGACGAACGGTCGTCGAAGTTCCAACCGCTACCTCAGGTGGGATGTGTGTTGGTGTTGGCGTACTCGCCTGCTTGCGTGAGGGTACAACGTGAAGACAAAGAAGCGGAGAGAGATCGGTCTCGCGATATCCATTGCGGCACCGTCAACGAAACACATTTTGTAGTCCTCCAACAACCATGCATTGCTACGAAAGATCGACTGCTGTCATCTAGATGCTGCGATGAAACATGTGTTAATCTAACAACTGTACTGCTGTACCTCCGATAGACTACAGAGTAGCACGCTAAGGCGATGTTCGCGGGGAGTCCTCGTTGATCCACACTCACGGGCTGCCATACGATTGCGTGCACCTATTTTCTACCGATACGAACTGCTGCTGCAGTTAGGAGTTAGATTCGGACGAGCACGAGAGGTCGAAATCAGGTTGTTGCTGTTGATGTGCTTCGCGGTAGTCAGTCGATCACAGAAAGAAGGGACGGAACTCCTTTCCAAGTTCCGTCGTGTGCGATCCAGATTTGGGTATAACTACAATGTATGTGTCCGTGGGGTACGAGCACTCCTGTGGTGTCGATCTGCAACCGACTGCTATAGTTATAGGAGGCACGCCGGGTGTTACTTAGTACCTATTTTGATATCATGTTTAGTCCCGTCAACCCTCCATGCCGATTCCCCGATCTCCGTCACACCCGCTTGCATGTACTTCAAGGTCCGGACGCACCGCGCACGGCAGCGGACGAACAATCCAGCGGCAAGAACAACGCTCTTGCGGCATCGGTGTCGCCAACACGACTTGCAACACCACCAACGCTGTGTACCGGCGGCGGCTTTGCGAACGGCGGCCTTCTCCGGGTGGCCGACCACCGACCGGCGAAATCGCAACAGCAACGCGAAGAAGGTTGCCGGAGTTTTGTCGACGGCTGAAGGCCGACTTTGTCGCCTCTTTGCCGCCGCCGACCCTTCGTCGGCAGCGGAGCCGGCAGAAGAAGGAGACGCCTCCACCCCTGAAACCCCGCTCCCGCCGGCCGCAGCAGCCGTCAGCAGCGACGCGAACCGGAAGAGCGTAAGCCTGGGTGAATCGGATGCGGCCACTAGCCAAACGGGCGGCGAGGCGGGAGCAGCGGCGGCGGCGGCGGCGGCGATAGTGTCTATAGAGGATAAGGGTACGGGCGGGGGGCGGGGCAGAGGGAAGGGGGTGGCTGTCACGGAGGGAAAGAGAAAACAAGCCGCTGGGCCTCCGGCATGGGCTCCGCGCTGGGCGGTGGACATGCACCCGGCGGGGCAGGCGGCCGTGAGCATCGGGCTGTATTTTTTTCACATGGCAAGAAGGCGTTGTGTGCGGGCGACACGCGTGTATCGATTGGGCGCGTTGGGAGAGTTGCCGTCTGTAAATGGGATAAGTTCGGCGAAGGCTTTAAAAAAAAATGTGTCGAAGTTCATGTCCGGCAGGGGTCACCGCTGACGTAGTTCATCGGGGAAGGGGGGGGGGGG